GCACAAGTCTCCTTCAAACTTCCATTCAAACTTTGACCTAATGGACCTAATTTGTTTCTCATAACAGAACAGTCACCAAAGCTGCTTTTTATTTTTTTCTCATCTTATTAAGGCACAGAAATCTGGCACAGGAGGGGACACGCAGGCTGCTGAAGACCTTCTGCTTATCAATAAACCCCTGACGGACCTAATTAGCCTGCTTATTCAACTGGTGAGAAATTGCTTGTTTGTAAGCCTTTTGGAATGTTGCTGAAATTGGAATTATTCAACTGAATTCAGCATCTTAGAGCTCTGTTTTCTAGTTTGTCATTGTTTATAAGCTTCCACCTAGTACGAAGGAAGGACTCTAAAGATTTTTAAGAAATTATAAGTCACAATGACATGCAGGTTACCGGTGATGTCAAAGTAAGTCTGTCCTGAGCATCAGTTTGGATACCTATGTATAGCCAAATTTTAGCCCTTTAGAATGGACTAGTGATCACTGCATAGGGAAAGGATGGTATTCAAAATTTGAAACAACAAGTACTGTTACCATTAGAAAAAAAGTCAGTAAACTTAAAATTAGTTTGCAGTGAGTGATGCCTTTTAATATTATTTTCTTGGGTTTTGAGCCTTCTGAGTTTTTCAAGGGTTTAGTTTTATTTTAAGATGATCCTGAGGGATTATGAGTGGGAATGGTCCCTGGTGATCTGTAAACATCTTTGAAGTCTGTCTGTTTCAAGTCAGTCTTTTCCAGGGTTTACTAGATGTCACAGCGCTGCATTGAAATCTCCGCAGAGTGCTGTATTGTGGCCCTGATGCATCCCATCAGCTCAACCCCTGTCGTACTGTGCCGGAGATTTGTAATGGCTCTGTGTGCAATAGCTTGTAGTAGAGGAACGCTTCTTGAGCAGGACAGGGTGTTTAGAGGCTGCCTCAGCCTTTTATTCAACATAAAGCCATTAAAATGGTATGTGAGAATTTCCCTGTGGCGTATTGCACTACCCTTTCCAGGTTATTTCACTTAGAGGCATTTCAGATTCACTGTGTTCTCTTCCAGACACAATTTTTTTGTTTGTTTTTCATTTAAATATAGGTTTTCAGATGTATCGTGATATGAATACCTGTGGCCCTTTTACTATCTTTAGCACTGTCTGTCATCTTCTATTTTGGGGGAGAGTGTGATTCCTTTTTTATTAATTTTTTGGCCTTATACTTGTTGCTAGGTCCTCCTTTGATGGGTTTATTTTAACCAGCTGTTGACAAAGGCTTTTTAGAAATGTTCACTGAATGACCTAAAACAAAGTGACTGAATTTCAACTACATAATATTTCACCTTTATCAATTCTTTTAATTTATTTTCTATTAACTTTTTCAATCACTATATATGATAAATAGTAAGACATGAAGAGATGCAAATGTTCCTTTAAAGTGAAACTAGTCATAAATTTAAATTCCATTAACTCTCTAAAGAACAGAAAATTAGAGGCCGAGCTTTACTCAGCCTATACCACCTGGAAGTCTTTTATAAGTTTTTAATTAAAGGAAAGGATTATTGTGTAGTTAGCATGTACTGATTAGATTCTGACTTGCCCTTGTATTTCAGAAGCATGGCTGCAAATTACCACTAGGTTTTGCTTTGTTCTGTGTTTCTACAGATTCTGCTGTGTTTAAAATGCTTATTTAAAATCTGCTAATTTTAACATATAGGCAAAGAGTAAAGACCATTGGTGCTGCTGCTTTTTTTTGTGCATGTTTTTGGTTTTGAACTTTGTTAAAGATTTTGTAAAAGTGAAGGCTTTTTTTCTTGTAATGCGTATGTGTTGTTCTTTGCATACGTGTGCTTGATTGGACATATGAAAGTTAGTTCAGCTAGGCTTGTTAAATTTTATATCCTTTACCCATTGCTGTATTGAACATTTCGTGTTAAGGTTGGAAGAGTTTGAACAACAGAATAATAATTCTAACATTTAGTATCCACTTATTTAAAATGTTTTATGCTCTAAACTCTTTAAATGGGACTGGATTCTTTGTGAAGTCTAGTGGGTGTCTCAAGATGTATATGCTCCCTAACCCTCAAAAAGACTCAGGCCTACCTAAGCTTAAGTTCTGTGGAACTGCCAACAGTGGTTCTCTGTATTCATTGAGCTGTGTGGCTACATAACCCTTTATTACTGTTTCAAGGCATTCAGTTCTTTGTGAACTTTATTTTCCGTAGACAACAGAGGTCTTAAATTCTGAACTAACCATCACTTTAAGATACTGAGTTAAAATTATTTTCTCTGGTTTGCTATTGCTACCTATCTTACCATATTTATAGTTTGTTATGTAACTTTGAATAATTGTTTTCCTCATTGATAGGTATATCCCTCAAGTAGATGATTGTTCCATGCCTCATTGACTTGTCTATTTATTTTCCTCAAGTTGTACATGTTTATCTTTCTTAATAATTCCTCAAAAATCAATGTGAGTTAAACTTGAAAATGTAAAAGACTTAGAATCATTTTTTTCCCTTCTGTAATTGTGACTCAGTCTATTACTTAGGGCATAGCAAAGCAAGTGTACGAAACCTAGATTGCATGTAAATGAAACTTCAGAGTTTTTAAGAACACGAAAGAAGAAATAATTACAAATTCTGTCATGCAGAAAACACTGCAAATATGGAGAATTCAATATTTAATCCCATGATCAGTCTGCCCTTAATTGATCAACAAGAGGAAGATAAATTGAGCATTTAGTCTTCTGCTCGACAGCTTTGTGTTTAAAAGTTAATTACACTTAGATTTTTTGTGTAATATTTCTCCAGTTGAACATAAATGTAATTTGATTATTATACTGAAACTTGCAGCAATTACAGAAGATATAAAATACCTTCTACTTTTTGATGTACATTATACTGAACAAAAAAAAAAAAGAATGTTGACTTACTTTTGAAATCACTTCAGTGTGGATTTTCAGAAACTTTCAGAAATCTTGCCAGTACCTATAAAAAGGAATTTCATTTCTCTGTAGATCCTAGATTTAACCCTAGGTGTAGATCCTCCAGTCTTTTCTGCAGCCTACCAGACTGCTGGGAGAGAACTTTTCTTGTCTTTTGGTGCTAGGCTTCTTCTTTATAATGTTACTGGTAAAATCTGTAATTGGTTACTGTGCTCTGTATATTATTGTTGAAAGACCGGTTAATCGTGTGCAAACATGAAGACGACAAATACGAAGCCTCAGGGCACATAGATGAATGAGATGATCTCCTCTAGGTCCTTTCTGTCTCTACGTTGCACTGGCTCTAAGGCTGTGCCCTGACTTCAGGTTCAGAGCACGTGAAGGTATTTGCCAATGAATAATGAAAATGACTGCAGAAGAATGATAACCCTGTAGACTGTAGAATTTTATTTCACACTTCTTAGGAATACAGACAGTTCTGCAGTCTGAGTGGCAAGACATACGTTTATTTCCTGTATTGTATAATGTATTGTTGTTATTGTACTTGAAATGTTATCTGCAAATTATATTTGAAGAATTCTCTTCTACAGCTGCCCTAAAAACCCAAAAAAACCTCAACGAAACAAAAAACAAACCACAAAAAAACCCCAAACAAAAACACATCAGAGGAAGTAAGAATATATTGTCACAAGCACAGAATTTCAGAATAGGGATTTAGTTTCTCAGCAATTAGGCTAGCTTAAAATGAAAATATATTGGTTTTTAAAATATTTTCGCTTAAGTAGGAGGACGACAATTTTGCTCTAAGTGAAAATATAATATTTTAATTTTTCATTTAAAACTGTGCCTATTTACTAATGAGAATAGCATAGTAAAGTTAGCAGATTTAATAATGATGTTTTGCTTTTACATTTTGTTTAATGTTTGCGAAATCATCTTCCGTATTGTTCCCAATGGTGCTTCCTTTACAGCCCGTTCTGTAATCACATTACTGATCTAATGAACATCTATCTCTTATTGTAATAAACTCTCTTTGTGTATAACCTCATTAATGCACTGAAATAGTGTCCCCTCCGGGTAATCCAGACAGTTTCATTGTAGCTCTAAAATTAGATGCTGTAACAACTCCAACAGTGTGAAAACTGCCACTTCTGCTCAAATGATCACACGTTTCTTGCAATGGTTTGCAATTCATGAACACACTGCAACTTGGTTCAAAATGAAGGCATTTTTTGACAACAGACTGCAGAAATATAGATGTGTAGTAACAAGAAACTTTCTGCTCTTCCCCACGTTAACCTTAAAATACACAGAGCAGGTTCCATCTAGAAAGGAAGAGAAGTAGAATTTTGTTATAAGCCTGTTTACAGGAGGTTATAACATGGCCATAAAAATTAAGTAAAAAGTAATACACAATCTTCATTGCACAAAAGTCTGGTTATGGGGCATTATTTTAAAATTTTGAAGTGAAAAATAAATCTACAATTCTGAGTTAGAGAATGGCAAAACTTACGACTTTAGCTCTTCAGTAATTTATTTTAAGGTGCTGGATTTTCTTCAAGCTATACACTAGCCCAGAATATTAACAGCTGCAAGGACGAGTACTAATGTTTCTACCTTGCTGAAGGCCTGAATCCATAATCTTCTCTCAGACTGATAAAGCCAAAAAAAAAAAAAAAAAAAAAAAAGGAAAGGCCACTAGAGTTTTTTATGTAATTATGAAATATTAAGGGACAGATATTTTCTTAGAGTTAGAAGTCTAGTTTTTTCATGGCTTTCTCCTCCTCTGAAAGAAGAAAAACTTAAGTAGCTGCTGTCATGAAAAACTATAAATGCATTTCAAAGACTTGAAACACACTTCTTCATATCAAATGGAATTGTTATGATTAGAAAAATAATCAGAACACTGTTCCAGCTGATTAAGAGATGAACCGTCCATCTATATTCATTGTCTAGCAACATGATTCTAGCTTTGCTGTTCTCATTAGACATGAGATACCATTTACTTGAAAGCTGAATTTTCATTCTTTGGTTTTCTACATTTACAGATATTTATTATATTTTCAGTCATTGCTTTTGTTCATACCAATAATTTTCTTCAGATCCTCCACTCTTTATAACTGTTAATGAAAGTACTAACACTGACTGACAGCCATTGTTAAATTTCAGATTACTAACTTACGATTTTTGACATTTAAATCATTTCCTGTCAGTAGTGAAGCAGCAAAACAGTGAGAGTTATAGAGAAAAATGCTGATGCGGGTATACTTAAATAGGGACATTGCTGACAGTTCCTCTTCCACCTTAATTATTGATGGGTTAGACTGTAGGCCAACGATTCTCATCCCCTCCAGAGTAAAGACGGTCTTTCCTATTTCCCGTTTGTTTTCCTGTTCATCCAAGACCTATGCTGTTGCTGTTTTACCCTGCATTTTTCCAGCATGACAGCGACTTGCTCCCCAAACTCTAGATAGCACTGAAGCTCAAATAGGCTCTGGTGAAGCAGAGGAGCAGAAGAGCCTGAAGACAACAGGCAGTGAAGGTATTCATGATTGAATAGGATGATGTCATGGCTGGCAAGTACTGTGAACCCTGGAGTGATATTGGTGGCTGGGTTTGGAGGATGGTCACCAACAGCTTGATATCCTGTGAAAAGCAAGCCTATCTGATGCCAAGACATATTGGATGGAGAGATTCAGGGTCTTCCTTTCTTTTGCTGAGGGACAAAGAACAGTGGCAGCGAAGGTTGAGTGTGCCAGGAGAAGATAAGCAAACCCATTGGCCCAAGCCCAGCTCCTCCTTACCTAGGGCAAAATGTTGCACTGTCTCACTAACTGGGGACTCCTGCTGAAGACAGCCTTCCTTGGGAATAATGCTAACAGGCTGGACTTGCTCATTTGCTTCCTTGAAAGTCACGTACCTCCTTGCGTGAGGAAGAACTGTAAAGGACAGGGTGCTTTATGTATTTCTTCACGCCAGGTTGTTGTAGGGGCAGTCCTCTGCAGAGACCGACACCTTTCCACTCCTCTGATATTTAGTGAATATCTCAGAAAATGACCTTGGGAACACTCTTACTTCCAAGTATGGCTGTTGTGATTACTGATTACACATGGGATTTTGTGCTTGTGGCGCTCAGGAAACTGGCCTCTGCTGCAATCCCAGGGCAAGGCCGTATCTGTCCAAACATTCACTGATTTTTTTTATTTTGGTTAGCCCACAAACAACATTTGAAAATTGAATACAGTTCTTCTGCTCTGATTTTCTTCAGGGAGTGGTTGATATACCTTGTCTACACTGATCTAGTAACAAACTGTAAGTTGAGTGCTGCTTTTAAAAGGGATAAGAGAGATACGTTAAAGTAGTAATTTTTCTTTCCTTTATCTAATAGCATTTTTTTTTTCAGTGAGGGAAATACAAGTTGGCTCAAAGCCTCCAGTGAGATCAGTGGAATTTTTTTTGACTTGATAAGACATAAATGGAGCTGTAAAGCTGTTACTATTTGTAGCTTTTCCTCCTTTTTAGCCTTGCTATTTATGTTGATGATGTTATTAGATAATTCTGGATGTTGGAAAGGAAACAATCAAATAGGTGGCATTTAGATTGGAATGAAGAAAAACCATACAGCAAAACTGTGGAAGAAATAGCTGCTGTGGTCTTGTCACTTGCATGGCATTAGGTCAAATAGAATGTGATATGTCTTGGGGCTATGTATTCAGAGCTTACATCTCAGTTCAGTCTGTTTTAAACAGCCAGCTCTATGAAGCTAATGGAAAACAGGATTGTATTTGCATGCAGATCCCTGGGGAATTGCTTCTTGAATATTTAAGGAGTGTATGTCTGATGATATGTTCCCAGATTGCTTGAAAGTAACTGTATGGGTTTTCCTTAAAATGAAAAAACTTGGGAAGTTCACACTGCAGATTAAATAAGTAATCATGATTGAAATGGTTGGGCATATTATATAAGTAGTTGGACAGATTATATAAATTATTTCCTTTCTATTGTCAGTGAGGATAGTCTGTTAACTGTACTTTAATCTAGATTCTTTGTATTTAAAAAGAATTTTGGAATTAAAAAACTGAGTAGGAGTGAAGAGGTGTTTTTACAGTTCTATAACTTCTTGGTTAAGACCACTACTGGTATATTTTGTTTAGTTCATAGATTGTAAGGCCAGGAAAGGCTATTGTAATCGTTTAGTCTAGGATCTTATATAACACCAGTCATAGGATTTTCCTAAATTAATTCCTCATTATAGTAAAGGGTTTTCTTATTTTTTAGAAAAAAAAATTAATTTTTGTGATATATAAATTGCCTGTGATGGAGAATCTGTCTCAGTTCTAAGGAAGTTGTTTCAGCAGTTAATCTTATTAAAGAAAGAAAAAAGGAAATCAAAGTATTGTCTTTCTTCTAATCTGAACTGCTTTACCTAAAGTTTTGAGCTATCATCTATTACCAGTCCTATCCTCAGACTGCTTTTTCTCACCTGTAACCGAGAGAATATGATCAAGTGCCCTTTAACCCTTGCTTTGATAAGCTACAGACATTGAATTCCTTCAGTCCTTTGCTGTTATTTTGTCCCATCTGTCATCCTCTTGCCTGTTCCCAAGAAACCTCTACGATTTTTTTCCCACTAGCTTTCATGAACTGTCTGCACTAAAACTAGGCATTGTGTTCCCGTTGTTGTTCCAACAGTGCCAAATACAAGCATAATGTAAAATCTGTCTTCATTCTTTCCAGACTGTACTTTCAAGAAAGATATAAATTATTTTGATAGCAGTGTTACACTACCAGAAGCTCATTTGAAGATGATTATTAGCCATGCCCCCAAATTTTTTTTCCATAATTTTGCTTCCCAGGAGAGTTTTTCCATTCCATTGCTAGGGCCTGCTCCAGTGTCTGCTCTTCAAAGGAGTGCAGAAAAACTGGAATTCAGGAAAATGTTCAAAATCTGCAAAATGTACCTACTAATGTGACTACTTAAAATCCATTAAATAGCTAGATAGCCTGTACTCTACCTCAACCAGAAGCCATAGACTTGATTTAGAAATAATTAAATGGAGTTTTATGGTCTGCATTATGTAGAAGATTAGACATCATTGCTATAATGATGCTTTCTGCTATTACTACTTCTATTTAAAGCAAAATATACTGTCTGAAAATAACAGAGTTGGAGCAACATTTTCGTGCTTTTATGGACGTTGCTATGGATAGGCTATTTGATAGAACCATAGTGGAGACATTGTACTGCTGCTTAAGAACAGATATATTGTACTTATATTTTCATCATTTTATTAAGCTTAGTTTAATGGAATTTTGTGTCAATCAACTAGAAATTATTCTTTCCTGGCACAATGCAAATGTTAATACTCTTCCAAATCCCCAGTGCTATGCAGTTTTTCTGAAATTGGAATTTGATTTGTGTTTGTTCAATTTTTGTTCCTTTTTAGCTTCCCACTGAAGATACTGAAATATTTGAGAGTGCCTCACAGTGCTTATCATTGCTGGTTCAGCTGTATGGAGGGAACAGTCAGGAGAGTATGTCTCCAGAAAACATGGACAGCTTTGCTGAAGTACTGAAGTCCAAAAAAGACACACGACAACTGAAGCTTTTGTTGAGAATTATAAAGAGACTGGTGAGTCGGCTTCTAAATATTTTAAAAGTCGATATGTTTCTTTTATATCATCGGATAATTTTTTGGCTGTTTTTTTCCTCTTAAAGTAAAAAAAGTATAAAATAATTTTGAAAACAAAATATGTGAAGTTAAATTTCATGTCTTTAAATTTCAGTTAACTTCTCTGGAGAAGATAGCCTTCTACAATTAAAACTTCTTACAAAATGATTGTTGTATTTCTCCACTTTCAGTTAACTGTTCAGCTATTTAAATAACTCGTGTTATTTATATATTTGTTTAGTACTTCAGCTTTATGAAGTATAGGAACAATTTTCTGAATGCCTTCTCAAAGAACTAACCTTGTAGCATTAAATAGCTGTTCAGAAACACAGTGCTTGATTTCATGGTAAATAAAATGCCATATTGTACTTGAAATAGGTTTGTGCGTAGACTGTTGACTCCTCGTTCGCACCAAGCGATAGGGACCACTTCTGCTGTGAAGTGGTTGTGATGTAGAATGCCAATCACTGCGAATCGTGCAGGGGGCTTAGTCTGGTGATGTTACTGATGGGTAGGGGTTTCAATTCTGTCATGCTCTGACATGGTGGCATGACAGCAGTGTTGTGTCTTTCAAGTAGGTTAGGTGGAAAACCTTCTGTATCTGTAGCATTGTCTCAGATAATAGTATGTTGTTTATCTTGAAGTGTCTTGATAAGAAGCTTTGCCTGAATTGTCACCTTGCGTTGGTTGATGACTTCACTCTTTACAAGAGCAGGAGTCTACAATGAAGAGAGGGTATCTTCCCCAGTGTAAGAGAAAGACGACACTTGAATTTTGAAAGTGCTACTAGAGTAAGGCCATAATCAATGGCAGCAGGAGTCGATCTACTTAAGGAGTTAAGAGGAAGCAATCTTTTTTGCAGAGCTTTCAGAGCTGTTCCTGTCCTCTTTCTCCTGCCTGCTGTATTTACCTAACAGGAAAGTAAACACCATACCCTTCTTCCGGGTTTTCCTCATCTCTATTTCATGTCTCTGTAAAAGAAGCACGAATATATAAAATTAAAATGGAAATTGTGTTTAAAATTCATAATTTCTCTCATTCTTGACATTATCTCAGGTTTCACTCCTTTATTTTCTCAAGCTTTTCCTGAAGAGAGAATTCTAGCAAAGATTTTTTTATTTTTTAAGACACTTCCTATTGACTTTTGCTTGTACCTGTGCTTCTCTTTCTGTGTAATTGTTGTGCTGCGTAGAACTGTCCAAAAGCAATAAAAGAGGCAACAAAGTTTGAGGGAAGGAAAGAGAAATAAGGCTGTTTTATATATATATATAAAATTTGATTTTAGCATAGCTACAGACTTGTTTCCTTTCCTCCATTTTGAAGACAGTGGTTCGAAAGTTGACCTAGCGTGCAGGATATTTAACATAGAAACTTCTGTTGATTATGTTAAGAGAATAAAGCTATGCTATCACCTTTTGAATCTTGCAAGTTCCTGTACTTTTAGTTCTCTCCTTTGTATACCAGTGATACTGGTACTTGTTATTTATAATGTCAGGCATAGATTTTCTGTAATTATTATAATGAGATCATAGGATTTCTTTTGAAAGCAGGGTTCATAGATAACTTGACAGATTATTTAATAAATCTTACATTATTTCTCTAAACCTTAAAAAGTCCTGTTCAGAGGAGATGATTATCTTGTCAAAATTGTCATAATCACAAAAGACATTGAAATATAATCATATCTATTTAAGAAGTATTCAGCCCACATCAGCTGTTCACGCTGGATTTTGAAGCCTAGAGCAGTGTTGTTCTTTTTTGTTTGTTTTTTCTTTTTTCTTTTTTCTTTTTTCTTTTTTCTTTTTTCTTTTTTCTTTTTTCTTTTTTCTTTTTTCTTTTTTTTTAAATTACTGAGCAATATTTTAATAGAGGGATCATTAAGTGCACCAATTTCCATTCCTGCCAATCAGTGCTTGTACAGAGCATCTTTCCAATCTGTGGTCACATTAACTTTGTTGTTACAGGCACAGGTATTATAAAACAGGAATATACAGAAAGAATTCAGTATGTTTATGCTACAGCTGCCCTTATAACATGTATTTATGGAAATAAGGAAAAGGCGTAGCAGCATGACTAGTTAATTTCTGTCCAAGTGTTTCATATGACTCCAGTGAGCTAATGGAGACAGATGTCTCTGTTTCAGTCTTCAATTTAAAGCATGTCACAGAATTTGTTAATGTGCAAGGTGAATTTACCCTGATGAAATGGAAACTTATTTCTAGTTTTGTTTTAATTTAATAGTGTTCATTAAGTTTTATCTCCAGTGGCTGGAGGGGGTTTTTTTGGACAAAGTTGGTGGTTTGTTTGAAGGGGTTTTTGGTGGGATTTTTTTTCTTTAAAGTCATTTTTCATTGTCAACTTTGACCAGCAAATTGACTGCTGGGCAATATAAACTTCTTGCAACACTTTCTTCACTGATTTTTTGTATTGCAAATACAATTTGTTGTATTCATTTATTAAACAGAAATAAAGATATAGGCCAGATTGGGGGGAAAAAAATACCTTCCTACAGACTTATTAATGGAATCGCCATGAACAGCCCTTTTAACAGGCTTTATTTTGCTGTAAAAAGAAATCATTGGGAGTGAAAACTAGAAAAAATATGCTTTGAGCTAACTTTCATAACTATGTAAGTAAGGATCATTTATAAGCTTTGAAGAAGCAGCATTGACTGTCATCTTTCTGACTTTTTTATAATCGCCTCTTAGCTTTCAAAGCTTTTGGCTCTGTCAGGCCCAGGTTAACCAGTCTTTTTCAAGAATGTTCTCTCACTAGTATTGATGTAATGGACAGAAACTGAACAAAATTTCTGAATTAAAGAAATAGAGTTTTGTGGATTTGGGTTTTTTTCTCTTCAGCCCTTTTACTTAACTTGTTCTGGTGGCTTCATCTTGGGTTAGACAATACTGCTATTCAGATGTTCTTTCACTTTTTAAGCAGCGTTTGTGTAACAGATCAGTGATGCCAGAGGAATGATCTTGTCCCATTCTTTGGTGCTGGGAGCCTCTCCTGCCACCCTTTATGGAAATCGCTATCTTGTCACTTCCTCTCTTCTGTAAATCGTAGAATCATAGAATGGTTTGGATTGGAAGCGACCTCAAAGATCATCTAGTTCCAAGCCCCCTGCCATGGGCAGGGACCCCCTCCACTAGACCATGTTGCCCAAAGCCCCATCCACCCTGGCCTTGAACACTTCCAGTGACTGGGGCATCCACAACCTCTCTGGGCAACCTGTTCCACTGCCTCACCACCCTCACAGTGAAGAATTTCTTCCTAATATCTAACCTAAATCTGCCCTCCTTCAGTTTAAAGCCATTACCCATTGTCTTATCACTTGTAAACAGTCCCTCTCCAGCTTTCTTGGTAGGCACCCTTTAGGTACTGGAAAGCTGCTACAAGGTCTCCCCAGAGCCTTCTTTTCTCCAGGCTGAACAACCCCAACTCTCTCAGCCTGTCCTCATAGGAGAGGTGCTCCAGCCCTCTGATCATCTCTGTGGTCCCCCTCTGGACTCACTCCAACAGATCTATGTCTTTCTTGTACTGGGACCCCCAGGGCTGGACACAGTACTCCAGGTGGGGCCTCACGAGAGCAGAGTAGAGGGGGAGAATCCCCTCCCTCAACCTGCTGGTCACGCTTCCTTTGATGCAGCTCAGGATATAGTTGGCTTTCTGGGCTGCAAACGCACACTGCTGGCTCATGTTGAACTTCTTGTCCACCAACACCCCCAAGTCCTTCTCCTCAGGGCTACTCTCACTGTATTCTCCGCTCAGCCTGTAGTTGTGCTTGGGATTGCGCTGACCCACATGCAGGACTTTGCACTTGGCCTTGTTGACCCTCATGCAGTTTGCAGGGGCCCACCTCTCCAGCCTGTCAAGCCTGCCCTCTGGATGGCATCCCTGCCCTCCAGTGTGTCAACTGCACCACACAGCTTGGTGTCGTTGGCAAAATTGCTGAAGGTGCACTCAATTGAAGATATACTGCATCTTATTACAGTTCAGTAAATCATCTAGATTAAAGTATTTCTTTCCAAAGTGGAAGAAATTTTCATTTGGGAACCAAATAGTTCAATTTTTGCCTGCTTTACTGAGAGGTTTTTAATTTCTTTTTTCCCCAGAGAAAAAAAAAAATCTACCTGCCATCTCAATTTACCATCTAGTATGTAATGTAAAGGCAAGTGATTATCACCAGAATTTTTATAGCACTAACCAATATCTCCACCGGACACGTAATCACTGTGGGATTACAGCTGTGTACTTTCAAACAAGAGAAGACTCATTTTATTCCATCTAGTAATAAGGAAAAATTCCTCTGAGAAAAATGAATAAGCGTCAGGCTTTAACAGGCAATTCTGCACTCACTGTGGAGAGTGAACTTTTGTTCTGTGACTTTTACGTTAAGTACTTGTCAGAAAGTACATTTGAATTCTACCTAAATCACACTTTTTCTTCTGATCATCTTTCTAGAACCTAATGTTCACTAATTTGCCTATTTTAACTGTCAAAAAGTTGTTCATCCTTTATTTGTGAGCAGCTAAGATGTTTAGGATGTCACCTGCATGTCAGATACCCTGTGGGGGTTACATGTAAGGATTTCTCAAATCGTATTAGGCTGTGTAGCAAAGATGTTAAGGCTAGCATGACAATACTTGAGCTGTTGCAAAGGTCCATAACTTTCATTAATTTCACTGTAGGATGGTTGAACACTAATTTGCTCTCCCTGCCAGTTTGGGCCACAGCTAAGGCATCACCAGGTACCTGCAGGCAGATTTATTATCCTGTTTCCAGTGAACCAAAGCCAGGGGAACCATTGGTCACTATGTCTGAAATATCATTCAAGTCATGTAGATTAGTAACCATATCATCCTGCGTTCTATACAGACATGTGCTGAGTTCACATGTTTTGAGTTGACAGCTCTGTGTTTGTATATTAAAATATCTGTATATATTTTTACTGTGGTAGT